GTTCTATGTCACCAACCCTATTTTAAATTTACATAGATGTTAGTTTAAGAAAATGGTCTCTTAAATGTAATAGAATGGGTTTAGAAATAGCAGATGGTACGTATCTGCATCATTTACTATTCGCTGATCATAAAGTCTTTATAACGCAAGATGGGGAGGATGCAAATTTCATATGTAATAAACTATCAATGGAATATAATAATTGGTTTTTGAATATCAACTATCAAAAAACAGAATATCATACTAATGATATGGATGAATTGTACATTGACGAAATAGAAATTAAAAAGGTAAATCATTTGTTCTAATTGGGTTCAATTTTAGAAAGAGAGGGAAAAAACAAACATGAAGATCAATAAAAGAATTACAAATGAACGGAAAATATTTGGGATGCTCAATTTAATCTTATGGAGCAGGAATGTTATGAATAGAACAAAAAGAATTATATTTATGTCCTTATTAGAGACTATAGTCTTGTATGGAGCAGAGACCTGGATAATTAATCAAAACATATTTGAAACTAAAAGCATTAGAAATGGATTTCTGTAGAAGACCAGTCAGAATTTCAATAAAAGAAAAAAATATGGAATACCGAAATAACAAGGATAATGGAAGTGAAGAAGAGATGTATGAATTTATAAACGAAGAAGATTAGAATGGTATGGCCATGTAAGAAGAATGGAAGATACTAGAATACCAAAACTTATACAGGAATGGTAAGTTGTAGGAAGGAGAAGTAGAGGACGGCCCATGACTACTGTCTAGCTCCAAAATGTACAGATAACAACAATGAGAAGATTTTGTGCAGAAGAGGAAGATACACAAGACCGAAATAACTGGAGAAATATTTTGAGAAGATAATGTGGAGTTCTGTACGAAACAATTGTTTCGAGTATATTGTTATGTTGGAGGAAAACCTCTGTATTGAGGAAAATCTCTTAGAAATAAAAAAAAATGTTCTTGAATTATTTCCCTTTGATATGTACTTATTTTTTAACAGTCTCTATCCGACCAATTTCAGTATTATTAATGTTTGAAATAAATTAGTTTTTTTTCCCCCTCGGAAATTCCTAAGCCTGTTCGACTGGCTATGTCTTCTAAGAGATTAACTTGTAACTCTGCATTTGTTAGTTTTTCAGGTAGAATAGCGAAGTCATTTGCGAACGCTAGACAATTGATTTGAATATGTTTGTTCCTTCTTTCCAGCATAATTGGTGATAATATATATAATATTATTTAGTATTAATACATTATAAACATTTGAAAGTACGAATAAAAATGAATGATTGTTCACGGTGTTTTGGGTAAAAGGCCCATCATCAGGGGCCTTATTTTCTAGACTATTGGAATAATTCGTATATCGATACGACGTCATTCCGCTATGGGAATTTTTAACATTGGATAGCGGATTTGTATACCGGAATCGAGGCGTGGAGTGTCTAAATCAAACCGACAGCAAGGCAGCTACCGAAACGTCATTCGTCATGAGATATGTCTGTTGATATCATTGTGCGATAAAGGAAACTTGAAAAAACATTCCCTTGTGATTAAATATAAATATTATGAACGAAATATAGTCAAAACTGAGACCATTACTGCTCATAAAATTATAACAACATTTTATTATGCTTAGGAAATATTCGTATAAACTTTATGTTAAGCTGGAACAAGAAAAGCGGCAGGTGTGTTGTAAACATAAAATAAATCATTAAGACCAAACAGCTGAATAATAAAAAATGTGTCATTTGAATTTTGCAAACTAAACTGTAAAGCAAGTTTGGCAGCTGTCTATACATGGAAATACTTCGAATTTGTCACATGTTGGGATGGTCTGCTACTCAAAAATTTCTTCGTTCACACGACTGTGCAAATCAAACCCCAGTTGAATTTGTTGAGAAATATATTCGTACAACTACCATACAGTAACTAATATATAACAGTTAAAACAGAGTTTCCCCAAGATATAATACTACCATACAGTAACTAATATATAACAGTTAAAACAGAGATTCCCCAAGATATAATTCATAAACTTAGTAACTATATTTTAATTTGCGTTTAAGTGCACAATGAGTTGCAGGTTACGAGAAATTCCCAATTTTTTTCACGTATATCTACATTAAATTTAAGTAAAGAAATAAAAAATATTTAATCTTAATAGATTACAATGGGTATCAAGTATATGTAGTATATGATATATCAATTTTTAATCAAACAGTACAAGCTAGCAACTAAACTAAATGTATAAACCCTTAATATAATTATCGAGTTGACTTATTTTTCCTTTTGGTAACAAGTAATGAAACGCAGTAAGTACGCAATATTAAAAAAAAAATAGATTCGTCAGGAAAATTAATTGTTTTTCAGAATTCCTGCTTATTTTATACATCCCTTGAATATAGATTTTCGCCCACTCACGAACTATCTTCATTAAAATAGCTGTCAAGCACAAGCCTTTCTTGTCACGTCCTTTGATATATTTTAATTTTATTAAATTGAAATTGGATGAAAGCTATTATCCAGTAGAAAATTACAAAAATTGGTGTGATATAAAATTAATTTTCCTGCCCTAACAGATAGAACGGGATTGATTCAGCGTCGGTGATTATACAAGTAAAGCAGAATGCCAAGTTTTAATACCGATTCTTTTATAATCCATTATATTTCATTCGACAGTGGCACCGCGCCGTCTCCAAAATGACCATTTTGGCATTTCGGCACTCGCTACCGGAATGGAATTATCGGGTCAATCCATTAGAGTATTGACTCCAATACTTTAAAAAATTGGCCTCATTTTCACACCATTGTCCTGCATTTAAACAAAAAATTAAATTGCTAATTAGTGATAAATTTATAAGTAGAATAATTTAGTATGTTCGGGCACAACGGGATTCGGGGTCGGAGCCGGAGCCGGGGAACTGGCATGTGGAAATTTCCCTTTTTCCCCTCAAAATCGACCAAATTTCCCCCAAATTTCTTTTTTCCTTAAAAGTTTCCTTTTTTTCCCTAAAAATTTTCCTTTTTCCCATTTTCAAAAATCAGTCCCTTGAGAATTGCCTTTCAGCATCAGAGCAGGTGAACAGGATTTCGGCTCTGGAGACTGGAATTTCTGACTCCGAGCCAGGAGAGCAGGACTCAGGACCTATGACCTTTGACCTTTGACACCAAATTAACCGATATTTAAAAAAAAAAAAAAATCCAAAAAAAAATTTAAAAATGTATTATTACAACTTACTTACAAAATATTTAAAATTATTACCAAATTATGAAAAAAAAATTAAACAATTCCAGTCCCCAGCAGCCATTTTTCCTTAAATTTCCTTTCTCCCTAACAATTCCCCTTTCCCCTTCAAATTCCCTTTTTGAATAAAAAATTCACTTTTCCCCATAAAAAATATATTTTTTCCTTTAAAACAATTCCAAAACCTCAGGAAATTCACAAAAATGAACGAGCATTCTATGCTTATGACTACTACCGCCATATTGGATACATGTAACCCAGACCTTGACCCCATGATCTCCAATGACCTTGAAAACAGAAACTTGAGAAAAATACATAAAAGTCAGCACGCATATTATGTTACTCATAACTACGACCATCTTGAAAGCCAGTGACCTCCACCTTAACCATATGACCTTGAAATCCAAAGTTTGAGAAAAATGCATAAAAGTCAGTAAGCATATTACATTACTGACTACTGCCATCATATTGGATACAAGTGACTTTCACCTTTACCCAGTGACCTTAAACCCAAAAAAAAAAAAAATAGAATTATTCGAAATACATGCATCTCAATACATGCAACTTCGTTGCAGGTTATAGTACTTTATGCATCTCGCAATTCACACACGTAATGTCATTGTGCGAAAAATCGTGACATTTATTACAAAACAAGGTAAGAACACAAAAAAAAAAAAAAAAAAAAAACAGAAAACAGAAAAGTTCAGGATCAGCCCGCACATACTACTTTACCCTTCTCGCTCGGCATATAACATGCGAATGGGAAACTGGGCGGCAACGAACCGTAGTGCGATGGGAACACTGCAAGCCAGCTGAGGGCATTGCTCTTAGAGGCGATGGGGCACTATGAATACATAAACCTCAAATATTTAAACTCCAAAAATTTTACACATTATATTATTTGAGTAATAAATAAATAAATAGTTATTAAATTCATTTTCATTAATAAATAATTTATAGAAACCATGAAACACAATTAAACACCAACAATAATTAATCATTGATACGTAGTTAAAATTTAAAAAAAAAACTAATTAAAATTACCCAAAATATGGATAAATATAAGTCAAAATAAGCATTCAAAGATTTTATTATAAAATGTATGAACATTTTTTTAACCAAATATTGGTTTGATAAATTTGAAGACGGCAAATTTACGGGTAAAATGATAGAATGCGAGAATCAATAACGGCTCCTTTGGATCTTGTTTTCATAATTAAGTTACATGACTGTCAACAACAAATATATTCATGCTGTCCAAAAAGGAGGATGAAAAATAAAAGTATTTCTGGAGAATTTTAATTTTACTAACGATGAATTTGTTTTACAAATGTTAATTTTTCGTACTGAAGAGCGGTACAGGTGTTGTAATTTCATGTGGGGTGTTAAATTCCGCCTGGTGGTGGTGAATTGCACTCCAGATGGTGTCAAAGCAGTTTTAGGTTTCGTTTGCTTTGGGCGGACTCGGCAGTGTTCGGGCATTCCCGGAGGAGGGTCGAAAATTACGAGTGGCAAGTCTGCGCCCATAATTGGCTGTTTCAGAAAGCCGGCAGCCATATTTGTTTCTTAGGTATAAGGTATATCACATTAACGTCTCTAATTTCGATACGATAAAAATGTTTTTTGATTAGCGGTGCACAGCATAAAGTATACTTAACATACACATAAGCATTACACAAGTTACTTATGGTAATCGTCGAAAATTGTGGGATAACTTGTTGCCACCGACTTTTCCTTATGAAAAACGTCGAGGATCGAGTCTCTGCTGCAGCTTAGTTGGTAGAGCGGTGGACTGTAGGTGAAATATGCACTAATGCATAGGTCGCTGGTTCAATTCCGGCACGAAGGAAGTAGTTTTAATTCCTTGTAACATTGCTGCAATGGAAGCATGTGTTTTGTGATTTTTTTTTTTTAATTTCTCAGGTACTATTTGAAACATGCGCTAAAATTTAACTTAATTTCAATACATCTATATAACGTATTTGCTATATCTGTGGGATTCAAATACCACAGTTATGAAAACTAATTTGTTAATCGCCGTCAGTTTCATATTACTTCACAGCGCTGGTCAATGGAAATGTTTTGTGTCAAAGTTTCCGGCAATAATTTATTTCATAATTTCCATTGACAAAAGAATAAAATGTTACTTTCCCGCGTAGACAGCACGATGAACAAGTTTCTCACTGCTGTAATTCAACAAGAACATTTAATCATTAAGACACTCTGTATACAGTCATCCGGGCGTCTTTTAATTACTGTTCACAAAATACGGAACAACTAAAGGAATCAATATAGACTACAGTTTGTGTTTTAATTGTTAAGTTTAGTACGCATAAATTAGGACATGATTACAATAACTTTGTGACACACGTGAAGCATATTAGAAGACTGTGAAGAATTTTGATCTGTTAGATATGAGAGGTTTGTTTGAAAGACTGAGATGAAGAAAAATTAGTGTGTGAGGACTGATTGCTGCTACTCCGTTTGCTGGGCAGACACAGTCGGCAAGCAGTTCAACTATAGGCTGTTGATGGTCAAGTGAGCGTTTTTGAAAGCCCCCTCATTTTGAATAATAGTCACTAAGCATATTACGGTAAAGTGAGCACTTTTGAGGCCCTAGTTACTTTTTCCTTTCAACCATTTTTTATTCTTTAACCACCTTTTTAAATAAATATTGCCGTGTAAGTAATAAACACAGTGTGGATATTTCACCGCACTCGGAAGTTAACGTCTGATGGTGAAATAAAATATATTTATTGACAATTACTACAAATGAAAAACCTTTCTAAAGTGCTCATTTTACAGTGAACAGGCTATGAAGTGTATTTCCAGGCAGAATACAAGTGTGGGAGTGCTCAAGCACGGAAGCCGTGAAGTAATGTTTGCTGCACCACAGAAGTGTTCTCGGTGTTGCAGCGAACATATCAGCGTCATCATTGCATTAACATACAGCAATGCTGCGTGCAAAATTTCTTCCTGAGAAACTAATCTGGGAAAGCCCAAACAAAGCTTTTATGCCTTCCAAAGCGATAAAGCTTTCCGGCCGGTTGGCTCGGAAGAAAATATGCATACGTGTAGAGTAGTTGGCAAAACACAGGTGGCTGAACTGTCGCCTGTGTGTTTTAAATTGCTTCTTTTTCAAAGGTTTCTTTCTGGCGAATATGTGCAAAATAAGTTTCTAATGAAAATACTGCCTGTTGTTTACACCCATTACACGTGGCTTAGCTGAGCTTACATCAGTAAATAAAAATGGGAATTGTATAAAAGAAATGATGACTTAACAATTCAAGCAGGAATTCTGCGGTTCCGTTTTTCTCTTCACGCGATTTCATCACAGTTTGAAAATAATCTTATTAAATCCGATGAAAATGTCCATACTCGATGTGGCATTACTGCGACTCTATAAAATTGCGGCCGCAAGTCCAAATGATTAAGGACATAGTTTTTGTAAAGTCATTTAAAGGTAACTGAAGGGTTCGCAGGCACAGACATGCCGTTTCACCCCCCCCCCCCAATTGTATCATGTCATTAGGAGACTAAAAAAGAATATTGATAATATCGTATTTTCACTAGACAGTATATGTGTTTCAAAGACCACTGAAATAAAAAGTATGTTTAGTATAGCATAGATTATTTGTGATGAATTTGTTTGGATATGTTCCTTCTTTGTATTTTTAATCCCGTAAATGTGGATCTTTATTTTGAGGTTTGCACCCCCCAGAACATAACTCTGAGCACGCCTACGATAACAGGTACGTGAAATAATTTGTTCTTCTTGCCTTTGATGTACAGAAACAAACATGATATATAACATTTTGGCATTGATGACGAGGACATTGTTCTTGAGGGCTTCGAGCAGTGAACATCACAGGCTCGAAGGCAGTTTATTTCCTCCTACACACAGTGAAATTTAAACCATGCCTCCTTCACATGTTAAAGTTTTGGTTAATTTTAATAATTAATTTTATAAACTACTTCACATTATTTTTTAAGGCTTCCGCAGCTGTTATTTGATGTTTTATGTGTAGAATAACGTTAAAAAATTATTTATATATATATTTTATTTTTTACAAGTAATTGAATCATGGGAAAATAATTTTGCTTCGTAATTCTTAGATGAACCAACACTTGGTAACAGAATTTTCACCTAAGTTGAGAGATTTGGGCGGCTCTTAAAAAAGAGGTCTTGAGAGCCGACGTGGGTGAAAGGAGGTGAGAATAAAGCAGCGTCGGAAACGAGGGAAATCGGATATCCCTGAGAAAATTCACTGGACAGCGGCATCGTCTGGCACGATTCCCACGTGCAAAAATCCGGGAGCGACCCCGCCAGAGGATCGAACCCGGTTCGCGTAAGTGTGAGGCGAATAGTCTAACCAATATAGAGAAGGAAAGTAGAAGAACAACATAAGAAAGAAAAAATGGAGGAGAAGCAGCAAGAAAGAGAAGAAGAAAGATAAGATCTGAAACGGATGAAATAAGAACGGAAGGAACTGCGGAGAAGAAAATCTAAATGAGGGAAAGATGTGATTTGTGATAATATGTTGGTTGACGTCTGTGTTTATGTCTGTGTAAAAAAAGTTCTACTTCCAGACTTACACTAACATGCAAACGAAAAATACACTAGTCTAGAAATAACATTGAGGATAAAACATTGCACCGTATTCGTCAGCTGGACAGACGATCAATAATTACTATTTTAATATTAAACCATCACATGTTTTCTACACTTTTACACGAACATGAAAATAAATCTGTAAGAAACTTCTGTTTTACCAATAACGCACCAAAACTCAACTAATCAATACTTTACAAAATAACTATTTCTCATTAGCCATTGAAGTGTACTGACTACGATATAAATACTATAATTTATAGACGAAATAAAGGGCCATAACAAAAAAAAAAAAATTATATACATATATATCACCGGACTTATAAAACGCTTCTGATAGTTATTTAGGAAACAGTCAAACATGATTTACATGGGGTGAATTTTTCAAAGGTTTGATTGAAGAATTGTGAAGATAAACGGCGAGCAGGCTATAATAACTATTTTGCAACGATTACTGATACTCAAAATAAAGCACAATAGTTATAGGCTGTTCACGGTAAAATGAGTACTTTTGAAAGCCCTGCTTAAGATCTACTTGTATGCACCTTGTGTATTCTTCCGCCTTATGTCAGATTAACATTGTCATGGGCGTCATCACTTTATTCATCCGCCAGTCTAGTGAAATTATTAGAAAAGAAAATACTTTACAAATCTGCTCGTTTTTACACTTCGATCCACAAAAATAAAAACAAAAAGCGAAATAAATAATAAAAATTATCTGACGTGGTTACCTAACACTTTTTATCCGACGTTAAGGTATGGAACCACTTGTCATTCATCGTTACCAACTTTACTGAGTGCATATCACTCGGGACGCCCGTTAAAATATACGCAGGTAGTGGCAGTGATATTTTTAGGGGAATTAATTTCAAAAGTGTTCACTTCATCGTGTACAGCCTTTAACCAAAGATATACAATAACAGTTATAATACTGTAATTTACAATATGAACGTCTCAGTCGCTGACTGTTCAGGGAGAGATAAGCACCAGGCCTGTGGAAGAGAAGTGGAAGAAGCGATTCGCGTAGCTATGCAGGCTCGTAATTTTTTTTTAAAATTAAATTTCAATTTTTTGAAAAGCATGCAAAGTACTTTAAAACACACATAACCACTAGTGTACAATTCTCTGCGTGAGTAGTTCTCTAGTAGGTATTATGATTTTGAAAAAAACCGAAGTGCTTATAATCGCACATTATACAATCTTCTGTATAGGTACATTACCTGTTGGGAAGGGGAGGGGAGGGGAGGGGGCCCCCACGCAATGACCAACTAAATAATAGTATGTGTAGGTTAGTTCACTTTACCGTGAACAACCTATGCCGATTTTCTAAATTTATTTATGTAACATTTTCAGTGAAAATCTTTTGCAAAATATTTGAACAACTCATTTTCACTGTTTCATGATAGCTTCAACAGGATACCTCAATCCCCTATCTTCAAAATATAGTACATACATAATAATATTTTTAATTGTCACTTTGGAAACATTAATTTAATCATATTTAAGTAAAAGAATTTTTCCGGCATTGCTAACGACAAACTGGTACCCACGATTTCATGTTTTTTTTTTTTTTTTTTTTCATAAACGATACATTTTTAATTAAATAATTTTACAAAAATATATTAAAATCTAGTGTTAGATAATAGTTTTCACTTACGGCAAGACTGGTGGAAAAGGAGCAGAAATAAAGAATTACTTTTGAACATTTCAAAATAATCAAAAGTAATTCCTTATTTTCGCACTTATTCTACCAGTCTTGGTTTGATTTACTGGCCAGGTAATATATTTTTCAAGAAAGATATTTAAATGTCTTGGACGTTCGTTTTTGTCCGAGTTGAAATACAGACGGCGTAACGAATTTCACGCGGAATAGAATATTTACTCATTGGTATTCAAGTTACATCCGGGATAGTGCTAGTGTTGTAAGGGAAGGCACATATCATTATTAAAACTTGAGTGTCAAATTTGTATCCGTCTCTAATTTCTACTTCCAGTACAGAATCTTCAGAACCTACTGTCGTCAATTTTATTGCTTTATAGTGTAACAAAACACGTATATTCTCTATTGACGCCTGCAGTCCGTTTTCGCATGGAACATCGTTTATTTAGCCTGTCACACTTTCCTGAGGACTTCAGAAAAGTTACAAGACACCACAAAAATCGAACCCCCCCTACGGCCCAATTAGTGTCAAGACTGACTGGTATATATTATTTCTAACTTAGTTGTAGAGACTAAT